GAACTGCTCTGTGGTCTGTGACCACTTTGTGGTTGTCTCTATAATTTATGGGGTCATCAGGGATCCTAAACTTGGCCATCTGAATTTCAGAGTCGCTCAGTTCAGCATGAGAAATTCTTGCATAACCCAATCTGTGGCAGGAATAGAAATGGTTTGTAAAGATTTTATTGTCATTCGGAAATGTGATGAGATCTAGTAGGTAACACCTTCATTATTAAGCCAATTTCCCATTTCTAACGCTACCTGTGTTTCACTAGAATTATCTTGACTTGTTACTCTAAATATTTATCAACATATTACTTTTACAACATAAGTGAATAAAGAACATGCACACTGTTTAATTAACTAAACATAGTTGGCAACCTTACTCTACTAGTTTACACTAATGAATATTCTGTCTATACAAATTGCCTCTCACACAATATATTTTGTAATATATATAAAATATTCACTTTTTGACATGAGATGATATGTATACATATTTTTAGCTATGTTTTATTGATTTTATACATATTTTAATGGATAGGGATTTGAAGTTAGAAAAATAAAACAGGTGACTGATGCACACCCAGAACTATGAATCAGCTGCCTCCTGCACACCCCTTACTGGGGATGAAGCCTGCAGCCTGGGTATGTGACCTGACCAGGAATCAAACCCGTGACTTCTTGGTTCATGGGTTGATGCTCAATCATTAAGCCACAGCAGCTGGGCTGGGATGATATATTTTTAAAGATATAATTTTTAAAGATATAAAATTTAAAGAAAAATTTTAGAGACCTCACCACAATATCATAGTGGCTCTAACAAGTTAGCTGACTTCCCCAAGATTACATAATTAGAAGTTGGCAAAGCTGGAATTCAAGCTCAAGGCTTTCTTATTCCATGGTCCATGCTGTTTCCACCATGCCATACAGTAAAACATGGTGCCAATCCTAACACGTGTTGACAGATACATACTTATGCTAAATAGTTTACATCGTATCCTCTTCGTATAATTAAATTTAATTTGCTTAGCCATTTATTCCTTCGTAAATCATTAGGCTGTGACTTGAAAAAGATGCTAAACTACATAACTAACTAAATCAATGTTTATAAAAAGTAACAGAATTAATTAACTGCTTCCATAAAGCTTTTCTCTCCAGGATAGACTCAAAAGATCACAGTACAGTGGGGCCTTGACTTACGAGTGTCACCTGATCAGTCCTCGATACATAATGTATTCACACCATCTGTCTTGATCCGTGCTGTCAATATCCTAATAAACAGAGAAGAGAACGTTAAAGCAGTAAAACAGTGCTCTGTTCTGAACTGCCAAGAAAATGTGTGAGCTGCAGTAATAAACATGCCTTTGTGCATGCTGTTTTCTCTGCCTGGCTCCTGCGGGTTCTTGAAGGCCCACGTTATTTATTCATTCTACAGATATTTCTGGAGCACCTACTATATGCCCATCTAGCTCCTGTACTAGATGCTGGGAGTACACAGACAAACATGGTCTAGAGAGGGAGTTAGGCAGGGAAAGCAGCGAATATAACACATTCCTGGCTCCCTGCAGCTTTCCAGGTCTCTCAGCCTGAGGAGAAGTTACAGAACCTTCCTAGGTCATCCTACGCATGCACACCAGCTCTACTGTTCTATACGGGTATTTGTTTCTATGTCTTCACCCTCCCCGTCCTAAGTAGGGGAACTCTAATCACTTTGGCTCTCTGGTCCTCTCTGGCATTTGGCAGGCGCTCAATCTATGTTTGTTAAATTGAATCACTGGAGATAAACACATTTTGGGAGTAATCACGAGTCTTTTGGAGGTTGAAAGCTTGAGACCAGGGTTATTTTTTATCAGAGAAGTAGAACATACATATTTTTTTTTTTCTGGTGTTAGAAAAACTCTAGATATGGAGCTTTTATACTAAAGAAATTTTCATTTCTTTCATTTTAAAAACTCTATAAATAAAAAATATACCTGACTTTTGATCATTTCTCAATTTTACTCTTTTTTTAAAAATATATTTTATTGATTTTTTACAGAGAGGAAGGGAGAGGGATAGAGAGTTAGAAACATCGATGAGAGAGAAACATCAATCAGCTGCCTCCTGCACACCTCCTACTGGGTATGTACCCGCAACCAAGGTACATGCCCTTGACCAGAATCGAACCTGGGACCCTTGAGTCCGCAGGCCGACGCTCTATCCACTGAGCCAAACCGGTTAGGGCTCAATTTTACTCTTAACACTTAATTAAAAACATATTTTTAAATCACTAAAACACCCATGCTCACCTGATCAGCCCTTGATACATAATGTATTCACACCATCTGTGAATTTGCAAAACAACACACAATTTATTACCTATTTCTTAATTTTTTCCATAGGCTTGGTGGTAGACATATGGATGTTTGTTAATCTTTACTATTTTCTATCACACTCACACACATATATGTCTTTAGTATACACAAAAAATTTTTAATAAATTTAAAATTTAAAGAAAAATGTTAGTGATTAAAAAAGCAAATAAGAAAAGGACTGTTCTGGTTTGCCTTGGGAAGTGATGAAAATTTAGCCATTCAGCTGTGAATACTGGGAATAATAAACTGTGACTGTGCTTAGCTATCATTTTATTTTATTAGGTTTTTAAAAGATGCTATCAAATTTTAAGACTGCAGAATTTAAATACTCATTTCTTAAAGAGAAAAATCTGTTCATCCAAGCATTTATGACCCAAACTCTCTGCATTAATAAACTTCCTGATACAAAAAGCTATATAAGAACCCACTGCCAATCTTGACATAGCTTTTGACCATGAACAGTGGAAACCAAGAGAGAATTAAAAACAACAACAACAAATAAAATTCCTCTTCTCTAACACTACCCATATGCCTTACACACACATACACACTCACACACATACACAGAATTCCTTCTCTTATTAGGATACAATTTTTTCTTAGACTTGCCAAATATCACATTTTCTAACATTCTTTTGTGCTTCCTAGGCCCAGTACTTGTACATTTACTTTATTTGATTTTCTATGTACAGCCAGACACACAATACATATGTGTGACCACCACTTATCGAGTGCCTCCTACATAAAAGCTGAGGGTTGTGCAGACCTTTGCTTATACTTCATCATTACAACCCTACGATACAATAGAAATTGCTACCCCCACTTTATATGAAGGCCAAGAAAGGTCAGGTAACTTGCCCCAAGGTCACACAACAGCACCAGCGAGGCTAGTCAATGATAAGAGACCAACTGTACGTAGAGACAGGCCCAGCCAACAGTTAGCAGCAAGGCCCAAGAATGGGACTATCTCAGGATCCCCAGCCATAGCTGAGCCACCTGACAACACGAGAGAATCCAGAAAAAATCAACCACCACCAAGTCAACCCACAAAATTGTAAGAATATTACACCAGGGCTGCTTTAAGCCACTAGGTCTGAGGGGGTTGTGGCATGGTGGGGAATAACTGGTGCAGCCTCCGTGACTCCACGCTCCCCAAGTTTACCTTTTACCCTCTGGCCTCTCCTTAATCTCTTTCCTGAGATAATTTCCCTCCTCTTCCCCCATCCTTAACCCCCTGACAGCCACATACATCAGGGGTTTTCTTTGTTCTTCCTTTTGTACTTCTCTAATTCCATCAGCAATGTCATCCACATCCATGGCTTCATTGATCACCAAGACCGTGGCCAGGCTGACATAGCTCATTGGTTGAGCATCGACCTATGAACCAGGAGGTCATGGTCCAATTCCCGGCCAGAGGCACATGCCTGGGTTTCGGGCTCGATCCCCTGTGTGGGGCGTGCAGGAGGCAACCAATCAATGCTTCTCTCTCATCATTGATCTTTCAATCTCTCCCTCTCCCTTCCTCTCTGAAATCAATAAAAATATATTTAAAAGTAAAAACAAGACTGTGGTGGTGACTCTTAATCTATACCTCTAGTCCTGATTGCCCTTCTCAATTCCTGATGCAGCTACCTATTGAGTGGCTCCATCAATATCCCACAGATGCTTCAGCTCGGCCTAACGCTGACTTCTCATCTTCTTTGCAAAGTTCTTCTTTCTTGCAGATTCTCTATAATAAGTGTTAGCATCCTGAAGCCACAATAAGGAGTCCATTGGGACCCCACTTTCTGCCGTATCCACTATGCCAGAGATGAACTCATGTTCTTAAACATAATGTTACTTAATCCTATTACGAATGTGTTACCTTCACATTGCCATGTTCAATGAGCTGTCGGTAATCTCTGGAACCAGGTGCCGAGGTGATATAACCCAGAAATACCACCTGATTAGAGCTACTTTTCAGGAGTTTTGAAATAGCAATAGCCTGAAGTTTCCTGTCGAGGTCATCTCTAAAAAACAAACAGCAAAAAATGTAATTTTGTTTTGTATTTGCAAAACAACTTTGAAAAGTCTTAAGTACTTAAGCCCCTCGCCCCCCGCAAAAAATATCTTCAAGTAGAGCACAAACCCAGAGTAATTCCTACCTAGACAAATGTCTTAATGTTCTAGAAATGAATGAGACGGAGGGACAGTAGTGAATAACTGAGTAGGCTGACACTTTTGACTAAGAAAAACAAGGTCTTTCCCCCAAAATCATTTGGAGTCAACTTGATTTAAATATCTACTCCAAAAACAGCATTTGTTAACTCTTCATCAGGAGAAATTATCTTCATCTGAGACTTGGTCATCAGCATCACAGCTAGAAACTAGTAGTAAATATATATATATATATAGAACCAGCAGCAGCATAAGCAGCCATGGTCAGAGGGAGAATCCTAACATTCACAGAGCACGCAGGACTCATGGAATCTACTCAGCTCCCTCAAGCAAACACCTTCTAAAAGTGGCTAAGCATGATACAGTATTTTCATAATGCAAAGCACTGTTCATTATAACTGAGATAATTAGGCAAGGACATCAAGCTTTGGGGTGCTTTACAATCTATTTGGGGAAAAATAGGGACATCATAGTTGAAATGATGCGGCCAGGAAAACAGAGGATTCTAGGTGTTTCAAATGAAGGGAATTTAACATAGGGACACATCACCTAGGTGATAGGAAGCCAAACAGTAGCCAGTGAGACAACTGGAGTTTTGCAACAAGGAGAAACCCGTACCACCTCTACAGCTAGAGGGACAGAGGAGGCCCAGGGGCCAGAAGCCAGCCCTGCCCGGTGGGAGATGGTGCTACAGAGGAGGCTGGCCCCAAGGAGCTGGGGTCATCTAAGGAGGAGCTGGAGCCACACAAGACACTCACCTGCTGCCAGAAAACCAGAGAAAGCTGAGAGGAAGGATGGGAAACACCCTGTCCTCTGCCCTCATCCTGCCCCCCAGCCCTGCGAGTGCCTCCCATTGGCTACACCTCCCCAGAAGCCAGAAGATTAAGAAAAAAAAAAACTATGATGAAGGAAGATAGAGGGAGATCACAAGGATCTAGAAGATTGGAGACACCCCATTAAGGTAGGATCTGAAGACAGCATGAAGCTTAGATGAGCAAGAGTGGACAGCTGAGTACTATTAAAAGATGTCTCAAGGTGTGAAAGAGTGAAAAGAATGATAACTTAACATCTTTGATAATGGATTCTCCTAAGCACTGAGAGGCAGGCATTAGCTCTATTGTTAAATGATGCTAAGTAACATGTGTTATTTTCCATCTCCCCTGCACAGGCCCATTCTCAGCCCGTTTCTATGCCCTGGGAGGCTGACCCCTGCAGATTTCATCCCCTGGACTCCCTTGTCAGCTGATTTCCAGTTATGCTTCACCAACTGGAGGCTCTGGCAGGAGATAACAGGTTGAGAGGAGAGAGAAGTCAGGGTGTTTCTTCCCCAGTCCCTGAGGGGAAGTAGCTGCATGCCTCATGCCTGTGGCCGCTCTTATGCTTTATTCCTGGCGCTCTTCCTGGTTCCAACTCTGACTCTGGGAACACGATTTCCTCTGCCCCAGCCCTAAGGACGGAATTCCATGCGCTTGACCATGAAACCACACTGACTCCCTTCCTCCCTCGAGGTACATCTCCTCAATAAGGGTTAGCTCTTAATGTTGCTGATGTTGTCATTACTATTAAATCAAGGGAGTAAGATTGCAAGTCAAGGATTTGGTGTTATTCGGAGAGCTTTAAAGACGTGGTTAATAAAAAGTTAGACAAGGCTATCCTTCCAAACACAACCTGAGCGCCAACTCTCAGTCTTGTCTCCTCCCTTCCTTTTCAAGTCTCTTCCTTACATTGCAGAGGAGCTGGGAGGGAGTTGAAGGGGGCAGGGGAAAAGCAAGGAAAAAGGGGAGGGGTAGAAACCTAACTGTTTCTTAGGTTAAAAACCTGGCAACCTTTAGACACAAAAGTGTCTAAAGCCTAGTTTTTAAAAGACAAACCCAACTCAAGTGCTCTTTTAAGGCCAGTGGAATGATTTTTTAATGCCTACACTTGCTACATGAAAATTACTGGGAGAAATAGGTGTTTCTCCAAACAGCTTTTTAAAGAGATATGGACCATCTATCTCATCCATCTTCCAAACACCCTTTTTATATCTAAGGAGGCAAACATATATTACTTATGCTCTGACTTATTTCAGAAAGTATGCAAGCAGGCTTACACAGATCCCCATAACTCTGTGAGAAAATGTGAGGCAACAGGAAATTAAGGGTAGCAGACACATTCGTTTGGTTCAGGTAAACGTACAGTGCGACAGTGATGGTTCCTAGTGTTCTCTGTGTCACTTTAAAGCTCTGTGGCATCGTGTGATCAATGTGAACAGAACCTGTTTGCCCTGTTTTATAGCACTCAGCCCTTTACATCAGTGTTTTCTGTTATCATTACAGAATGTTTACTGTGGTAGAGTATCAATTATATACCTTTATCTTTGCTTTTACAATCTATTTGGGGCATTATTCATGATTTAGTCAGTACTCAGTCACCGGTTATGAATATTATTTTGGGGGGGATAAAACTCATTGCCCAGCCCGGCTGGCATGGCTCAGTGTTGAGCATTGACCCATAAACCAGGAGGTCACAGTTCAATTCCCGGTCAGGCCACATGCCCAGGTTGTGGGCTCGATCCCCAGTGCGGGGTTGAGGGTGGAGGAGAAGGAGTGCAGGAGGAAGCCAGTCAATGATTCTCTCTCATCACTGGTGTTCCTATTTCTCTCTCTTTCTCCCTCTCTGAAACCACCAGGCAGGCACCCGGAAGGACCTCCAGTCTAATTAGCATATTACGCTTTTATTATTACAGATTAAGTTTAGAAGAATGAACTGGGCAGGCTTGTCCCAAGTCCTTCCTCTCCTTGAAAACTGCTAGTTTGCAAACAGGGTGTTTCCTGGTTTATTCTCTCCACTTCGGTGAGAGCTGTCAGACTCCACCCTGCTGTTGGGGAAGTCATTTCACATCATTGGGAGATGCATTAGCAGTTCCATGTGGACACACGCAATCATGTTGTCCAATAGGCTTATCAGAATTAAAAGTGATCTTTTGGTAGCCCTGCCAGATTCCTCTTCTGACCTATCAGTGGATTGGGAAAACATGAGGGACAAAGGAATGCCATTTAGTACTCTCAGATCCCAACAGTCCTTCAACTGTGGTAACCCTCCAGGAACAGGGAATGTCCTATTCCTACAGTGGCCGCAAGTCCCTGCAGGCTCTGAATTGGGTCTACCTAGCTCCTAGCTGTGTGGCCCTGGTTGGACAAGTCATGTAACCTCTCTCAGCCTCGTTTCTTTATCTGTAAAATGGGGCTATATCAGTACTTCGTACGGGTTGGAGTAAATGCAATACTGAGCACAGCACCTGCTCGGTAACTGCTGGCTAACACACCCATCATCACTGTCTGGTGCCATGGATAAGGACTGCCCGCATCTCAAACGTGTCTACACCCACTTTTTAAAAGCAATCACAAAGGGAAAAGTACTTTGGGAGAAAAAAAGTAAAAAGGAGAAAGATAGGTCATTTGTATAGAAACCTAAGTAATGTGTTAATAATGTTTCTTGGCAGTTGTGCCCCATTCTGTAGACCAAAGAAACCCACTCGTGATTCCCAAAGTGCGTCACAACGAAGTCCACCAGTTTGTCGGAGACGTTCACGGTCAGAGCTATGGCTGGTGCAATCTCGCCCTCTGGCGACGGGAGAAGGTGATGCTCCGATTTCACAATGGGATATCTTGACAAAACCATAATCCTGTGTGGGAATGAAAAGAAACATCATTGTTGGTCTGACCATAGCATGCAGACAAGACTAAGCAAATGATGTTAATAAGGGACATGTCACACTTCGAGCGTCCCACCGAGGGGCACTCAGCATGCGGTGGAGACGTATGCGGCAGTCTGCCGATCTATTGTATCTGTTTCTTAGCATTTCTCGCTGTGTCACTAATAAACTCTGATGTCAGAATTTTATCAACTCTGTTTTAGCAAGGGCTATGAAGACACGAAAAGGGGAGGATTGGTAATACACAAAATCCATTTTACTTGCATGTTACTTTGGCAACATATTTGCATAAACAATTCTAATCGTAATCAACACATTTGGAAATGTACAATCTTGCCTGCTAGGGCACAAAGTCACAATTTACAAGATTAGAAATTAAAACCTGTTCAATAAAGATGTGAAAGCACGTTCTACCTCAGTCTAAGTCAGAGAGCTATGAAAGGGTGAGCACAGTCTAAGCCAGAGAGCTACAAACTGAGCACAATGCTGCTACTTCCTGGTCACGCCCATGTCATTCAATGGCACCATCTCCTTTCAGGTGTTCGGGTCAAAAACCTACATGCTGCCCCTGACTCTTCACTTCTGGGCCCCTGACACCTAACCCATTACCGAGTCCTGTCGGCTCTGTTCCCCCTTCTCTCCATCTCTGCGGCTCTCACTGTCCTCTCTCACCTGCGCTATTGCATCTGCCTCATCACCTGTCTCCCAAACAGGTGGGATGATCTATTAAAAATGAAAAGCAGATCAGATTACTCCCATGTTTTAAATCCCCCAATGGCTTCACATCACAACTGAATTAAATCAAGTCCTAGGCATGGATACGGGGGCTTCCTCAGGTCAGGTGCCCGCTCTTGACCTCATTCTTCATCAGTTCTCCAGTAATCCCTATGCTCCAGGCACACCAAGCTTGATCCTGTCTCACATCTTCACTCTGGTGGTTCCGGCAGCGCCTCCCACGGCTAGGTCCTAGGTTTTTCTCATCATAAGCTTTTCAAGTAGCTTCCTGACCATTCTACCTACATTAGCGTCTCCCTTGCCCCTGCCTACCCAGACACTTTCTCCATAGCGTGTTTCCTTTTCTACATGGCACATAATCACTATCTCAAATGATATTATTCACTTATTTTTTTGTAAAAATCTTTATTGTTGAGAGTATCCAGATGTCCCCCTTCTTCACTCCCATTGCCCCTGCCACCCAGTTTCCACCCTACCCCAGGCCTTCACCACCCTACTGTCTGTGTCCTTCGGTAAGATCTTCAGTTAATCTCTTCCTGCCCTCACCCCCTTCCCCCTGAGATTTGTCAGTCTATTCCGTGCCCCTGATTCTATTTTATTCACTGGATTATTTTGTTCATTAGATTTCTTATTCATTTATTTTGATTTTTAGATTCAGTTGTTGATAGATATGTATTTATTGCCATTTTATTGTTCATATTTTTAATCTTTTTCTTGTTCTTCTTCTTCCTCTTCTTAAAGAATACCCTTCAACACTTCACGTGATACTGGTCTGGTGGTAATGAACTCCCTTAGCCTTTTCTTGTCTGTGAAGCTCTTTATCTGACCCTCAAGTCTAAATGAGAGCTTTGCTGAGTAGAGTAATCTTAGTTGTAGGACCTTGCTATTTATCACTTTGAATATTTCTTGCCAATCCCTTCTGGCCTGCAAAGTTCCTGTTGAGAAATCAGCTGACAATCTATGGGCATTCCCTTGTGGGTGCCTAACTGCTTTTCTCTTGCTGCTTTTAAGATTCTCTTTGTCTTTAGCCCTTGGCAATTTAATTATGATGTGTCTTGGTATGGGCCACTTTGGGCTCCTCTTCTTTGGGACCCTCTGTGCTTTCTGGACTTGTAAGTCTTTTTCTTTCACCAGGTAGGGGAAGTTTTCTGTCATTATTTCTTCAAATAGGTTTTCAATATCTTGCTCTCTCTCTTCATCTTCTGGTACCCCCATCATACTAATGTTGGTATGCTTGAAGTACCAGAGGCTCTTTACACTATCTTCATATTTTTTTATTTGTTTTTCTTTTTGCTCTTCTGATTGGGTTTTTGCTTCCTCATATTACAAATTGTTTATCTGATTCTTGGAATCCTCTACTCTACTGTTGAATCCCTATAAGTTATTCTTTATTCCAGTTAGTGTGTGCTTAATTTCTGACTGGTCCTTTTTCGTGTCTTTGACATTCTCACTGAGGTCCTTGAAAGTCTAAGTCCATTGAAACTCTCATGAAGATCCTTGAGTAACCTTATAACCATGGTTTTGAACTCTGTATTTAGTAGTTTGCTTCCTTCCATTTCTTTCATTTGTGATATGTTTCTTTGTCTCCATATTTTGACTGCTTCCCTGGATTTGTTTCTACATATTAGGTAGAATGGCTATGTCTCTTGGAATTGGTAGAGTGGCCTTGTATAGTAGGTATCCTGTAGGGCTCAGTGGCTCAGCCTCCCCAATCACTTGAGCTGGGCACTCTAAGTGCACCCTTGTGTGGGCTGTGTGCACAGTCTTGTAGTTGAGCCTTGATTGCTGTTGGCATCTCTAGGAGGAATTGGCCTCCAAGCTAATTTCCTGTGAGGAGCTACTGTGAGTACTAGTACAGTGGTAGAGCTGCTGTGCAGAAAATACCCCTATGGAGCAGGACTTGCTTCAGTGGGGCTTTAGTGCTCACTGAGTCTGCCTCTTGAGTGTGTCATTTGTGAGTGTATAGAGTTGTAATCTACTATGGTCTGAAGCTGTCCACTGGGTACATTGGCATGAGGGCCTCCAGGGAGGTGCAGTCAGTCATGGCCTGGGGCCACTTGGAAGTGCCCAGGAAAGTCCCAGCTTGAATCAAGTCAGGCTGGGGCTAGTGTCAGGTCTTAGGCTTTTTATTGATAAATTTGGGGCACGCTGATGTCAGCTGCAGCTTGTTTGAGAGATTTTAGCAAAGTCCGAAGCCTGAGCTAGTATAGGTCATTCATATGGAAAGGCTGCTGCAAACAGGTTGGGTGGGGTTGCAAACTGGATGGGGTGGGGTCTCGGGGAATCCCCAGGGCAGAGCAAACAGTGTGTTCCAGGCTAATGGAGAGTCAGATATGACTTCCAGTCAGCCCTGTGACAGGGGAGGTCCCAGCACAAGAACAATGACCCCTGCAAGCACCACTGTCAGGGAGAAAGCCTTCCCCAAGTTCCTGCCCCAATGCTACACAATCCAGTTCCTCTCCATATGTTTTTGGGTCCCCCAAAGCTGCCACCTGGTGCTTGAGCACAGAGGAAGCAGGACCTTATAAGTTTGTGTTCAGACCCTTTAAAAGGAATACCTGAGTCTCCAGCAGCCCCCTTGTCACTCAGACCCAATCCCCACTGGTTTTTACAGCCCATAGTTACAGGGACTTCTCTTTCCAGCTCTGGAATCCTGGGCTTGGGGGGGTCTGATGTGGGGCTGGGACCTCTTGCTCCTTACAGGAGGCCTCCACAGAGATGATCTCCCTCCTGATTAAATAAATGGCACACGTGGGTGTTGGACCAACCTGTTCCACACCTCCACCTTTCCTATCAGTCTCAAAATGCTTTCTTCTTTACTTCTCTAGTTGTAGGACTTCCATTCAGCCAGTTTTCAGGTGGTTCTGAATGATGGTTGTTCTGTATTTTAGTTGTAATTTTAATGTGGTTGTGGAAGGTGGCAACTGAGTCCGGCATTTACCTATGCTGCTGTCTCGGTTCTCTCCAACATTATTTACATTTTTGTGTCCTTGTTTATTTTCTGTATCTTTACATGAGAGTATAAACTCCATGAAGACAATGTTCAGGTCAGATATGCCTACTGTTATAATCTCAGCTCCTACACTGTATGGTTTCTAATGGTAAATTGAAAATATCCAGTAATAGGAAAACCATTCAAACAATTATGGAATATGCATATCTTTGGCACTTCCTCATCCCCCAGGAAGCATCAGCAGGGCATAGTCATGGGACTAAGGTCCGACAATCTCACCTTTCTACTCTAAGCCTATGCTGCCTGGTCTTTCAGAGTTACGTTCAGGATTAGTACCCAAGGAACACTCACCCCCAAGTGTGATCCCTTGTGCTTGGACCAAAGTCAGTATAGAAACCCAGCTTCTCCCCTAACCACATGGTTAAGTCATTGTTCCCAATGAAGGGCTTAGAAGCATCACTCTCCAAAATTGTTATGAAATCTGCACCTGTTCAGAAAAAGAAAGGCACACGGTGATTAACCACAACAATGCAAAAACAATGAGCAAAACGTTGTTCTTGAACTCTTTGCCTTCACTCAGAAATCAAAAACAAGTTCTTAATGAGTCATGAAAGTGAAGTGAACCAAAACTGAGCTATCAGGGAGTTTTCCCATATTTAGAATGTAATTAATACATGGGGCACCTTAAGAAAACGCAGAAAAGGATAAAACCATAACTTTTCTAAATTTTCAAATAATATTAACATCACTCCTCAAATCTCAAATAGGCTTAATGGCCTTTTCAAATACCCAATTTATGTTCAGAAATAGAGAGTGGTGCACAATAGCATTTTACTTTTGGGCAAACACCTCTGTGGTACTGGCACAGAAGTAAGTGTATTGGTTTTGCCAGACCTGACCAGATGTGCCTTGGAGGCCTATAATCAGGACTAAAGGACTAGAGGCCAAGGAGATTTCTTAGCCGGATTAAACTCATACAGACCCTCTGCAGTTTCCTAGGAGACAGGCTTATCATTAGCAATAACCAGAACAGTTCAGCCTTTTACATATCTTGCTCCACATCCCATGCAGTTGATCTAGGAACCAAATGCCCACATATTTTCAAGGATGTTTCATACAAAGATGAGCTCCCCCAGGCATGGAAACTTAAAAATTGTCCCTTAGGCTATTTTAAAAATTTAATTGGAGAGCATTATGCTAAGTGAAATAAGCCAGTCGGAGAAAGATAAATATCACATGATCTTACTCATTAGTGAAATATAATGAACAACATAAACTGATGAACAAAAATAAATCCAGAGACAGAGAAGCATCAAACACAAAGAATTAAAAAATAAATAAAATTTAATTAATTCATTTATTTTTAAATCATTATTGTTGAAAGTATTACATATGCCCCCCCCCCTGCCCTTTTTTCCCATTGCCCCCTACTAGCCTGCCCCTGCCCTGTGCCCCAGTCCCTTAGGCTCTTAAAAGCCATTTGCATCACAAATGAGCATCACTCTGACCCTAACAGTTTTAACCTGACAGTTTATTGGTCTCCAAAGTGAGTCCCCAAGTGACAGGAGCCACCAGCAGGGGCATCTCTAAGAGCAAAGGCGTGACAAGAATCCCCTGTAGATACCCAGTGTGAGGCTTTGTTCAGAATCAACAGAATTAATTGCTCTCAAACAAAGACAAATGTGGTTACAGATGCTAAATCCTCCTGCAGCTGTTCACCAAAGTAAAGCCTTTTTAAGAAATTAGTTTATGACCCAGCAAACCCTCCCCCTGGCACTGAGGATCTTGCTCCAAGTAAAAGTAACAATAGTAGTTTCTCAAAACCTAAAACTAATTCCAGTAAGACCCACCTGTTTCATTAAGCAGCTGAGCTGATCTTTCTAGACTAGACCACCCTTCATTGTCGTAGCCAAACCTGAAAGGCCAGATGGCGGCAGAGACTTCCGTGGTTGGTGCCTGAGGAAGTTTTAATGTGAATTAGCATAACTATAAACAACGGCAGGTTCAATGACCCATTTTTCCCACCTCCCTCTACCAAAATTCATATTTTAGCAAAGGTATTTTCATAAGTATCTGCCCACATTTAATTCATGAAAATAAGGAGATATTTGCTAAAGGGTATTCTCATAATCCTCCAGGAACGTCTAGCTTAAGCTTAGAAGTTTGGGAAGTGAGCGTTTGTAATAAAGATTGTTTATAATAGCAAACAATTAAAAATAATCTGGCTGTTGTCGCAATAGGCAAAATAGGAAAATGAATAAATTGTATCACTTACAAATAATGGAATACTGCACAGAGCTAATAAATGAGGTGAGGATATGTATTTCCACATGGATGAATCTCACAACGATGATTTTAAGAAAAAAGTAAGTTGTAAAATATATATGTCAGATGTCATTTAGATAAAGTTAAAAAGATGAAAATAAAACAATACTGTCTTGAGATAGAGCATCTATGGTAGCAATATAAAGAAATGTATGGAAATGATAGACACCATATTCAGGAGAGGGGTTTCCCTTGCCCCGGAGAAGAACAAGATCACAGAGGGGCACAGAGAGTCCTTTAACATGTTTGTAAAGTGGTGTGCCTCTTCTAACTGAGGTATGGTGGCGCTACTCCCCTACTGTCCCCACAAGGCCAGGTTCAGGAGCACAGCCCCCTTCAGGGTTCCTCTTTTGGGTCAGTGGGCTCAGTCAGAGAATGCACTGCTCAACCCTAATCATCATCTCAAACTAATACCTTCTGGCCCCCCCACAGGGATCCTGTGAAAGAGGATGGATTAAAACAAATCCATCGCCACAACTGAAAAAAACCTCAGAGTGGACCATGGAGCCCAGACTGGGAGAAGAATAAGTAGCAACTTCTAGGTGTCGGAGGGCCATTACTCCACACAAAAAGCTCAATGTGCCACCAGTAGTGAGCTGGGCATTTCATCCTTCCACAAGAAAAGTTACCCTGTTTAGTGAGTGTCACATAAAGAGAATGGAACCATCAACAGAGAGTTCAAGAAGCATGGTTATATTCATCAAGCTATCCCTTTTCATGCAACTAACTAACTGGATTTTATCACCCCAAAGCCTGGTATTCCCCCATTCCTCCAATCCTCAGTAAGTGCCACTTCCCTCCACCCAGTTGCTCAAACCAAAAAAACAGAAGCCATCCTGACACCTTACTTGTTCCTCTGAATACTGTCTCTCCCCTACTAGAATGTAAACTCTGAGAGCAGGCATCTTGTCTAACTCGTTTACCTTCTAATCTCTGTCACCAGGCACAAATGAGACATTCAGAGATTTACCAAACGAATGAATGAATGAATGACCAAAAGAACAGGCACAAAATCCAACTGAAATGACTCCTTTTGAAAAGAATCCCTGACATTACATATCCTCTTCTGGCTGGCATTGTTTGCAGTGATAAATAATAAATAAGGAATAAATAATAAATAAAAGGAAAAGAAAGAGATTATGTAATGACCTCAATTAAGAAATAGTTACTGAGTTCCGAGGATGTGCCAAGCACTCCACTTGGTGCTAGGAGTACCAAGGTCAACAAGAGAAGCAGGCCCTGCATCTTCAGTATAGCTTTTTATTTAATATGAAACATCTGCCTGGTAATACAGATTGCTAAAAAAATCCAAAGTTAACCCATGAATTCTATTTTACCCAAAACTGTGATTCTCGTGGCATTATGATATGCATCAAGCTTTTTATCAGAGTGGAGGATAGCATAACATTGCAATGACTTACTCTTACCCACCTCTCTAACAGAGAAAGGGAAAAAAACATGCAAAACTGTAGACAGCAAGAGGGGAAAGAAAGAGACAAGAAAACCTCCACACCTCATCAATACACAAGTTGCCCCAAATCTGCAAAATTGAGGATTGTCTGTAAGATTTTTATTCAAGCAAAGAATCTCACATTATTGCCTTCAGCAATATCTACCAGACAGTACAAAGAAGCCACTGTAAAATAGTTCTTTATTTCATGGGTTAGATATGTTAAACCATCGGATGAGAAAGATAACTTCTATGTATAACAAATCACAAGCAGTTTGCCTCTATGATGCGTGTCTATCCTGTCCCAAGAATCCAGCCCAACTTCATAAAATAATTCTGTTATTAGCCTCTGACCTAAGGGTTAAGGAGATGAAATACAGGGCCCTAACGTCATTAGATCCAGGTCTAGAGCTCGCTCATAATGGAGAAGTGTACAAATGTATGTATGTACATGTACATATACATATACATATAGCATATAACATATACATATATCCTACAAAATCCTATATTAAGATTGGTATTTACTTACCCTTTTGCCCAATTTCCTTTCATAGCTTTTATGCCGTAGTCCTAATCCTAATAACCCCACACCAACGAGCAGCCACAAAACTAAACAAAAAGCAAAGATACTTGTTTAAAAGAAGTTAAGTTTGCTTAAAAAATAATTTTCATGAAATTATTAAACCTATTAATCAAGGATTTTGTGAAAAGGGGAAATGTCTAATTCCTGAGTTAATTTTCATGTGTGACATGCATACATAACACATACTTTAAAACCAGATTTCAAAGAATCTGCCCTAAAAATATTCCAATAGCCATGAGATGAAAGTAAATGTAAATCATAAATAGATACAAGGTAATAGACGAGAAAACAACGTTCCATGAGCAGGAACCAGCAGGAAAAATCACTCTAAAGAATCAAGCCAACAGCCCTAGCTGGTTTGACTCAGCGGATAGAACATTGGCCTGTGGACTAAAGGGTCCCAGGTTCGATTCTAGTCAAGCACACATGCCCAGATGTGGGCTCAATCCCCAGTAGGGGGCATGCAGGAAGCAGCCAATCAATGATTTTCTCCCATCATTGATGTTTCTATATCTCTTTCTCCCTCTCCCTTCCTCTCTGAAATTAATAAAATATATATATTTTTTAAAAGAATCAAGCCCACAAATACTTCAGATATTAAACTTTAAGAATCAAAACATAGCTCTGGCCAGTGTCATTGAGTGGTTAGAGCATTGGCTCACCACCAAAGGGTCACAGGTTAGATTCCTGATCAAAGGCATATACCTCGGTTGCAAGTTCAATCCCCAGTACTGGTTGGGGTGCGTGAAGGAGGCAACCTATGGACGTGTCTCTTAATCAATGTCTCTCTCTCACTCTCCCCAACTCTTCCACTCTCCCTTTAAAAAAAACAAAACCAAAATCAATGTCAAAAATAGCCTGGGGTATGGATTAACAAAACAAACAACAACAACAAAAGAATCCAATATAAAATAAGGCACTTAACATGTTTAGAAAAATAAAAGAGGACATTAATAGTATGACTGAAGAACATGAGACTAACTCAGTGATCAGAAAAATTTGTAAAGAAATTAATAGACTTGTGGAAATAAAATTATATAGTAACTATAATAACTGAAATTAGAAACTCAATGGACAAAATGAACAGCAGATTAGACAAAGCTGAATAGAGAATTAGTGCAAGGGGCAGTTTAAAAACAAAGGCAGAGAGCCCAGTTGTTGTGGTTCAATTGATTGAGCATGGTCCCATGCACCAAGAGGCCACCAGTTCGATTCCTGGTTAGAGCACATGCCCAGGTTGAGGGCTTGATCCGCAATAGAAGGTGCGCAGGAGGTAGCTGATTGATGTTTCCCTCTCATTGATGTTTCTATCTCTCTCTCCCTCTCCCTCTCTCTCTAAAGTCAATAAAAAACATTAAAAAAAAAAAAAGAAAGCAAGAAGATAAGAAAAAAATATACCTAGAGAAAGTGGAAAAATAAAAGATGATGGAAATAAATCATAATACATGAGAAATTGCAAAAATAGTAGATTAAACTTTGAAGTTGAAAGACAAAGACTGACATTCTAGAAAGGGCAAAACAATGGAGACAGTGGTTGCAAGGAGTTTGGAGGAGGGAGGGGAGGATGAATAGGTGAAGCACAGGGATTGTTTAGGTAGCAAAACTGCTCTGTATAATACTGTAATGGTAGAGACATGTGATCATACATTTTTCAAAACCCATAGGACATACCACGAAAAGAATAAACTCTAATGTAAACTATGAACTTCAGTTCATAATAATTTACCATTATTGGCTCATCAATTATAACAAACCCTGGTGCCCTGCGCTGGGGAGAAGGGAGCCTTTCCATGTTTTTAAATCCTACCTAACACTATGTAGTTGTGAAATTTATTGTATCTAAAACACTATTTGCAAATTTTATACATTCAATAAATATTGTTAATCCAGTTCATTTGAAATGAGTCCTATTAAATAGTAAACTTATTTCATGTTTGACTTTATAGCTCATCAATATTCCAAAAGTTAACATATTTAATCTCCCAAAAAAGAAGAAAAAGAAATGGAAAAATAGTCCCAACTATTAAAAAAAGCATTTTGGAAATTTTACCTGATAAATCAACTTATCTATGTTAGAAGTGAAACAAAACTAACACACAGTATTTACGGTTAAAATGACATAATATCAGAGATTCTCTTTAAAGTATTTCACCAAAAACCATAGGAAAGATAGCTGTTAATAACAATTGTTGGAACTGGGCAAAGGGTACATGAGGGATCATTATACTCTTTAATTTCATATATGTTCGAAGCTTTATATTTTTAACAAATGCTTTTTAAAAAGAAAGCAAAACTATACTTACAAAGTTTCATATATTTTTCACTCCTTCTGAAAAGCACATTTGGGTTGTTTTTTGTTTGAAGAAGAAAGTCAATACTTTTCTTAGGACCAAATAGCATATTCAGCCCAATAATTAGCATCACTGTCCCTATCAAAAGAGAAAGAATATATTAGACGATATTACATCTTAATCCAAGAATGCTTCCTATGATAAATATCAGAGGCCAACATTTCGGTGACATTTCAGTTATTAAGTTAATTTATCTCAGTCCCTAAGCAGTTGCTCCAGCAGTACTTTTGATCATGGGGATGATCGTAAGCAATCAGCTCAGAAGAACCCTGATGGATCTCTTTTAATTTCCCGAATGTTTCCTGAGTAGTTAGGTTGCTGAGCGTGTGTATCACTATTGACCGGGCAGAGGAGGATGGAGCTCAGAGAGAGGAGCCTTCTGAACAGCCTTAAGGACTCAGGCTTCTCCACACAGGAGGCCAGGTAGGTTCTCAACATGGCAGTGTTCCTGGCAACAATTCTGGCCTGGATGTGGGTGTTCTGGGCACTGGCTCCCCACAGAGTGTGCATGCTGGAACACACAGTGCCAAAGAGGTGGGCCAATAAAGCTGAGTTCCGCTGGATGCACTACAATGTAGCTTGCATGGAAAGTTCATGTACTGCTAAGGTGGTACCGAATAGAGCGGACACAGAGGTATGACTGAACGCTATATCAATTAGGAACTGTCAAGTAAGAGTTAGGGTTAGGCTAGCAAAACACAACACAACAAAAATTATGTGCCATTTCCAGGAAATAGCAGGAGAAACCCAGACAATACATGTATAACTAGTTTCTGATTGAATGCACATTCTTTTCAATTGTATTAAAAGCTACTCGGAAAATTACCAAGATTTCTTAATTTTGTGGCCTTACCAATATAGTGTCATGCTTACTAAAACAAAAAAATAATAATTCTTACTTGAGAAGGCACTCAAAATCACATCACGCATAACACTCTGAAGAAGTAAACTTAAGCTCAGAACAGCTCTTACTTTCATTGGGGCTCTCCACATGGCAGACCCCTAAGCAAGCTGGAGGAGGGAATGAGCATTGCACAGGAGGACAGAGCAGGACAGAGCACACACACCTGAAAGAAACCAGAAGAAATACCAAGTTCGCAAAGCCAAGGTTATCTATCGCGGAGGAAACGCGGCAATGGGTTTCTCTAACCAGATGAGAGCTTGGGAATTCACCAGAAATATCAAATTCTTAACAATCATTTTAAATATTTCATGTCATTTTAATATACATAGATAGATACTAGAGGCCTGGTGCATGAATTCATGCACCAGTGGGGTCCCTCAGCCTGGCCTGCGGGATCAGGCCGACACAAGCTCTCTGACATCCCCTGAGAGGTCTCAGATTGCGAGAGGGCACAGGCCGGGCTGAGGCCCCCCACCGATGCACGATTGGAGCTGGGGAGGAACGTGGGAGGTTGGCCAGCGGGGGAGGGCCCGCAGGAGGCCTCCAGGGCATGCCCGGCCCATCTCACTCAGTCCTGATCAGCCAGACCCCAGCAGCAAGCTCACCTACCAGTCCGAGTGTCTGCCCCCTGGTGGTCAGTGCATGTCATAGCAAGCAGTTGAATGGCCTTATCATACCATTAGCATTTTACACTTTGATTGGTTAAATGACCAGGGGGCAGACACTCAACACAGGAGCAGCCTACTGGTGGTCAGTGCATTCCCACAGGGGGAGCACTGCTCAGCCATAAGCAGGGCTCACAGCTGGCGAGTGCAGCAGTGGTGGCAGGAGCCTCTCCCGCCTCCACAGCAATGCTAAGGAGTAGCAAGCACACAGTGGAAAGGAGCAAGGGGTCCCTGACTGTGAGAGGGCGCAAGCTGGGCTGAAGGACCTCCCCACTCCAGTGCACAAATTTCGTGCACCAGGCCTCTAGTATAGTAAATAAAAATCATAGATAAAATTCAGGAAAAAAAATCACAATTCCAAAAAAATGTATACATACTTTAAAAGATAATAGCTCAATTGATGTTTCTTTTGTTTCAGGTTTAACCCATTGGAATTAAAAATTATTCCAAGTGTGTATACATCTTTTTGGGACACCCCCTTTCCCAGCATATCATAAATACAAGTGTTACCTAGTACCTCTTTTATTCTTTATTATGAATTAAACTTGTTTTTCACAACCAATTCATTTAAAAGGGTTTTGTAGTAATAAATATTACTGAAACTCAAACGAATGAAGAAATTTGTTTTAAGTAGCAATTTAGACATTTCTCCAGTGTTGATGTTTTTTTAAATCAAGAGACTCTTTTAATGAGAAAGGCCAGATCATCCCATTTATTTCCACTTGTCGTGTAAAGTGCTAACTCCCAGTCTTGAAGGGTTTTTGCCAGTAGTTATTAGTTCAATCTAGACCCTTATAATGTACTCACCCAAAAGCACATCTGATCTTTCTCTAGCGTAGACACCTCCTGGGACAAATTTAAAAGCTGTGCACCATGCACAGAAAAATGTATCTACAAGATAAACTATCATGGCAATGGCCATGGGTTTCCCAGGGTTTGACCCTGCGCTGATAAGGTGTCCAAGCACTTGAGGCCACATGGACGCTGTGAAGAGGGCGAGTACGCAGCCAGAAGCAGCGGCTGCCCACGTGGGCAAGTACAGGAGACCAGCTGCCGAAGCCGCCCCTGTGTTTAAGAGAGAAAAAGAAAAAGGATCAGACAGGAAAGCAGTAATAGTTTCTTCCATTTTCTCAAAAATAAACAATAAATAAATAAACAATAAATAAATAAACAAATAAATAAATAAATAAATGGGAGGGAGGCTTATGGGTTGACCAATGTATAGCCATTTAGAGCCAGAAGGGACCTCGGGGGAAGACTGGTCCAATCTTCACACTAATGAGAAAATGAGGTCTGGAAAGGTTAACGTGTCTTGCTGGAGGTCACAGAATAAGTTACTTGTTCAACCCGAGGTGGAATGTGGGTCCAGTGAACCTTCGTTCTGTGATGCTTCTTCAGGAATGGTGGGGAGAAGGAAGAAGGGGCTTTTAGATTATTTGTGTTATGATCCTAAGAACAATAAAAACTGAACTTACCTGCAATACCAAAAACATGTCCATTTAATTGAACTAGTGAGGTCCAGGACTTAGACAACATGTTAGAGTCAGGTGGTTTCTAGAATGTTTTTGTTAAGGAACTTTCTAAGGGCATTTCCTTCCACTTGAATACTGCCCCTTGTTCTATATTAGATATGTTGGTTTTCCCAACCACACTGGCTCAAAAGAAGATGGGGCCGAGATAGTGCTGTAGGCACACTGCTTTAGCAAGTCCGCGGTCCACTCATCCCTTATCCAACAGCCTGGGAGGTTTGGGGGCTGTGCAATCTGCCTGATCCACAGCAGACCCTTAGCAAATGCTGGCTCATTTGTTGAGCCAATCCCAAGGAAACAGAACAATTCTCCCACTTCCTGTGAAATCTTTGAGAAATCATATCAGGGTCTTACAGCACCCCATTTTTAAAGCTGTCAGTATATAAATATAAATATATATATTTATATATTGATTTATATATTATATAATAAAAATAAATATTGATTTCAGCCCTAACCGGTTTGGCTCAGCGGATAGAGCGTCTTGGCCAGGGCACTATAACACTTTTCCACAGAATGACATTTTCTAGACATTTCAATCAATGTATCGTTGTGATCCACCCTTCAAAGTGTCTGCAGCAAACTCCTCAATGCTGGGGCAAGGACTCCAGAAAAGCCAGCAGGCGGAGCAGGAGGTGGCCCCAGCCAGTGCCCCGGTTCACACCCATCAGTGAGTTCCACCTGCACCATCACAGGACAAAGCCATGGGATTACATCCCCGGCTTCAAAAGACCACAACTCCTACAAACCGGAGAAACAGATTCCAGGGCCCTCTGCCACTCACGGACTTTAACTCCACATGAGGCCTCCCACACGTAGATCTGACAATGGTTATTTTAATAACAGAAAAAAATCCTTTTTCATCTTGAAATTTAAAAATACAGAACTGTAAGGAAGCAATTAAGAATTGTCAAAACTCCGAAGTATTTCTCCTAATCTTTTTCCATGTCCATATGGTAGTATTTTTACGTAAATTGAACCATACCCTACATTGAGGACTATATTCTGCTTCTTATGTGACATTATACCCAGGATGTTTTCTCATGTTATTAATTTCTTGCCTAAAACATTCTGTGTGTGTATGTATGTATATCTATATATATATATATTGCCGTGAGATCACACACCGCAATATAAGCAGCCATGTTCCTGTGGTTGGCCACATAGGAAGCTTCTGACACTGTGAGGGACATCTTTCTTTCTTTGTCAATTAATCTCTGACTACAGCTCTGATTATTAAAACAGGTTCTTAGAAATGCAATTACTGTGTCACGAGGTAAAGGCATTTTAAAGAGTCATTACCTGTGGCCACTGATTTCCTGAAAGGTGACATGTGTCCCTTTTCCTCAGAAACCTTGCCAAACATATTCCCTTTTGAGCCCTGACAAAGTTACCTTTTCTAAAAATCTTTGCCAAAATAATGATGAAAAGACTATCACATTCTAAATCAGCGGTTGCTAACCAGTGGCCCGCAGACCACTCGTGGTCCATGGGGCCCGAAAAGTTGGCAACTGCCATTCTAAATTGCATGTACTTATTAGTGAGATTAATTTTTTTTTGTTTACAAGCTTTCAATGACTAATTTTTAAAAGAATGATTTGATATTCTAAGGACAGCAGAATGACTGTTTCTTCTGTCATAGCACAGAGAATTATCTGGAGGGAAAGAAAACACCTCTTCAAATTTCCCTTGGCTGTTACTGTCTTTTTAAAATTTACTTTCTATTTTTACATAGGCGATATATTTTTAAATCC